CACAACAAGAAAACATTAACCTTTAAAAATCCTGAACGATATTCAAGCAAGGTCTAGATTAAAACCGAGAGCAAAAATCACCAACTTAGTAAAATTGGTAATGTTTTGCTTCTCATTTTAAGCCCCATCGGGAAGGTTTCGTAAATAAATTAAAAACTGATTAAACCAAATAATTAATCAGTGATTTAGATGAAAATTGTGTTATAAATTTGAAGTAATTTTGGTGGATGCGCTGGGCCAATAAAAATTTTAATTGTCACCTGTTTTGTATTTTAGCAACACAAACAAAAATTAATGACCAATCAAACGCAATTTACGACAACAATAATCCATAATTTATGACTTCCAGATAATGCAAATTGACCACTGAAACTGATAAACATTAAATTCACAAACAGCGTTAATTATAACCGATTAAAACAGCCACATACTGATTTATTATCAAATTATTTCAAAAAGTTACTCGTCACAAAAATTTATCAAAAATCGATTTCGGTTTGTTTGCGTGACTACAATCTGAACTGAAATAGTGTTACAGCCCCCGTGTTCAGCAACGTCTTAATCAACTCAGACAAACCTGGGTGTAAACGTATCTCGTCAGAAAAGTCACTTAATTAGTGATCTCGTTACTTTTCCTATGCAGTGACGTCACGCGTTCGGCATCTACCATTAGAGCGAATTAGTGTTGAAGTTGGGTTTAATGGCTAGGAAACACGAGCAATTTTAATGACGGACAGATCAGCGAACGAAATTAAATTAGATGGTAGTTGGCTATCGGGCTTTTTCTGTTCGGTTGATGCTAATTCGATCTGAGAATGCCTAATTTGAATAAGAGCACACCGGAACGTTTCCTGGTGATATCGACGGACCACACTGACTCGAGTTGAAGAATTTTTTAGCGAGTGAGGTACTCACGATTCCAATTTACATCGCTGTTCTCTTATTATGCTCAAATAATTGTTATAATATGCATTTACATTAAATGGAAGCACGATTTGTGGCTAGCGCTTCTGAACGCGGAAAGCGCTGCAATCTGTACACGTCACGGATGAACTCGATGCAAAAATTCAACAAAAATAACAAAACGGGAGAGTAACAAGAGTAAAGTAATTTTGAAGGAATTTTTAGCTCGTTGACAGCAAAAAATATAACGATTCTGCTGTTACACACCAAGATATAGTTATTTACAGCTTCTCTAAATCTACGCAATTTCTCATACATATGTAGTTTATCTAATAAATTTCTATGATAAAAATAAATTTTACGAATGTTTATGTTAAAAAATATTAGTATACACATTTCAGTTTTGTTTTACTTTTGAATGTGAAATCAATGTTCTTTCAAGCCTGATTTCATTAAATCCTCCTTGGCGTAAAATACGCCACTACATAAAACAATAAAAATCCGAAATAAATAACCCTCGCGCTACTCTTTTATTCTTTTGTAAACCGAACTGAAATAAATTCAAGCTGCCACCGCTACAAACTCCTTCGTTTCATATTGACATACGACTTCCATTCCTCGCCGTTCCACAATACCATTCCCAATGATTTATCCGTTCATATTTCATAATTAAACCACGAAAAAGCGTAAGCACATCGAGCAAACTTTCCTCGCAAGTCGCGCTCTTTGTCAATACTGACGATTGGCAGCAAACATGACAACTGGCGGCATATTTGCATACAGAATTAGCCGCCTAACTCGTTGCACCTTGTACAAGCAAGACGTCGAATTGTTACTAGATTGTTTTTACTCACTTGATCTGGTCGAAGTCCGGGCGGGACCCAGGTGTACTCCTCCAAAGCACACCCGGAGTCATCGTCGCTTTGCGAGTGACGTTGCGGGTCGCCTGTTGATGGCGCGAATGGCGAACCTTTGCCCAAAAAACGATCAGCCGGATCTAAGGAAGGTAATTTGCCTCCGGGCGAAGGAAGAGCAGGTGGGGAAATTGAAGCGTTCATGCCTTCATTCGACGACATGGAATTGTCCGGCCAAGGGCAGTTGCGGCACACCGATCTGGAACAAAAGGCAAAATAATTTAAGACAAAGTTGGCAATTTTATACTGGAAATTGCATATGACTGCAACAGTAGTATTTTTGTATATGGCAAATTGCTTGAAATTTTTTTACATGTATAACTAAAATACTAAAGATATAAAAAGGGTATATTTAAGGTAAAACGTTATTTCTTAAATAGTTGCAACAAGATTGTGTAAACTTTTTGTATTACTTTTTGATTTATTACTACGAGTTGTGGCAGAGTAATGTTTGTTAATACGATTAATAATTAATAAATTCAGTTTTTTTAACTTTATTGGAGTTTAAAAAATTGCAACATTGTTAAAATAAAAAAATAATCCTATGCCATTTACGACGTTTAATCATCTTTAAATTCTTCCCTTTCAGTTATTTTACTGTAGTGTTCCGTTGCAATATAGAATCTCCGGATTTCTGAGGAGCCAATTTTGATTTTTTGGTAACTCTAGGAGTTTTCGGGTTGTCGTTGCTACGTTTTCTTGTTTTTTTCATAGACTTAAGCGTGACTTTTTCCTTCTTTGAAGACACATTGAGCTCTTTACCAATTTTTTCTTTACGTCTTACGTTTTTCATTGTTTCCACTTTTACAGGAGTTGAATAAAAATCCGGATCTGTTGAAATGTTGGAACTATTCAGAATTATTGAATTTTCTAAGAAACAGCTGGTTAAATTTTGTTTAATTAAGTACTTTTCGACTATGTTTTTTGGTAGACGATTCAGCTTAACGTAAATTTCTTTAACTGTGTCCACTGAATGCAAACTCTCCTCAAAAATTGTTGTAAGGCAATCTCTGATCGATGCATCAGAATTCTCGCCTAGGCTACTTTCCTGTTGCAAATCTCGCATGTTGTGGGGCTCAATATCCAAATCTTGTATGTTGAGAGGTTCAATATGCATATAGCGCCTTACAACTTTCTGAAGTTTGTTGTATGGTTGTTGATTGTGAATTGAAGGTTCAGTTCTGACACTGTCTGTCACATATGATCGTCTTTTTACACTTATGGGCCCATTCCAAATTGGAGTGCTAGAAGTTTGAAGTGCATTTTTTGAATCATCATACAATTGGCTTAAAACAAGCGCACTTCTCTCTAACAAGTCGCTCAGATCGCTAATTTTTTGTCTCCAGTACTCGTATCGAGAACGATATTGTTTATTTTTTCGTGTTAGCTCCGTTAAATCTTGCTTGAGTTCAAGTTGTTTCCGTTGTAAAGCATCAAAAGTCTCGTTTGTGTTATCTGAAATATCGTTGTGTGTATTTAAATAATCTTGGTGGGAAGCCTCCATCGATATCATGAGCTTATAGGTATGACAAGCTTGATGACGCTATGATGAAAATGTGTTGTTCCAGAAGTCTACCTCGATAAAATTGTCTTGCTCTAATGAGGAAACTATCTTATTGCTTAAATTTCTGGCATTTGTTAATTATGTCAGCAGTCGTCTGAACGGTCTGAACTAATTTTTTGTCTAATAAAACCATGCTATGGTTTCTTAGATTAGTGAATTCAGTCTATCTATTTAATTTAGCGTCCAAACACCAGAGGCGCTCGCATCAAAATTTTAAAATTTTAGCGGTTGGCTGTGACACCTCTGATGGAAAAAATTAAATTTTGACGGTGACATCGTTCAAAGTGCTTATGTGTAGTTATGATTTTTAGATTTTTATTCAATTATTGTGTACAGATGTGTGGCTGTGTGTACAAGTAAAGGAAGTTTTACTAACACAATTTGTGAATTTTGTTGATGAAAATGTGGACATTGATGGGAAAAATATGAAGATTTGTTCCGGCCGACACCCTTTTGTGACAAGAACTCAACAACTCAGACTGTTTATGCTTCCTTCTCGAACATAATTGTTCTAATATACTTAATCCATATAATTATGAAACCACCTATGTTAACTAATTTGATTCAATATCTTTAATAAATCACTTTAAAAAAATAAACTTATATTTTCTTTGTTTAATTTCTAATAAGATGCCAGTAGCACTTATCTCCCTGTACTAAATACTCAATTAACATTATTTTTACCATTTCAAAAAGGCACATTTTGCTCTATAGTTCAGCGTCCAAACTACAGAGGCGCTGCTGAATACGAGTTCAAAAGGTTGTACATGAGTACGCCATCTATAGACCCTATTCATCTATGAATAAAACCGTTGTTCTTGATCACCTAGTAACGCATATGTATCGGGTGTTCGGTAAAATACGTTTAAAAACGCGACAATTTTTTTTTCTGATTTTAGTCATGTCCTGTCATGACAAATTATATGTCAAATTAAATAATAATAATAATAATAGTATAAGAATAATAGTAAACTTTATTGTAAATACATAAAATACATTTACAAAATGAGCAACTATCTTCCACTGCCCCTAAAATAATAATAAAAAATTGCACACTAAGCTGTATTTTCAACTTTTTTATTTTAAAAAAAAATCCTACTTCATTGATAAATGATTTTAAAATTTACGAAAAAAATTAAAAAATAGGTAAGTACATATTACAACAACATATTTTTGTTAAAGCTTCCAAAAACATATCCACACCTCTTATTAGCAAAAATTTCTGGAAAATAGTGAGCTTGAAGTTTCAATTACCATGCCACCATAGTAACCAGGTTGTTCTTTTCACTGTACTTTAGAAACTAGGACCCAAAATAACCATACTATTTTGTTGAGTCTGAAAAAAAAACATTTTGGGGACTAAAATAGCTAAAATTTTTTGGGAGCGTATTCAAAAAAAAAAGCAACAAAAAAAGCAGACTTCAACTTCTTATTTTTTTGATAGAAGCTAATACAATTTGTTCAAAGTGTTTCCAATGAAGGAAGCCTCCTCGAAGCCGTCACTCAGCTTTAAGTAAATCCAGTGCGTAAAACATTCATGAAATATGCATTTAATGGTCAACATCCGCTACCTCAGCGTCGTTATTTCGCGTGGAATTTTCAAAGTGTCGTAAACCGACACTGTAAACAGAAAATATTAATAGATGACACAATTCGAATGTGACCTTCGGATAATTTGGGTGCGCGAAAATGCTGGAACAAATCCAACCTGGTTTTCAGCCGTTCTATATAAAAAACGAACGAAATTACGACGAAATGACCGAAAGGTAAACACAATGTGCGTGTTTCTGGTATTATCTGCACTTATTTCAGCCCTGGAGAAGGTGAGAAAGCACCGCAAGATTGTTGGACTTTGATGACAACAGCTGAAAAAGTTTTACTCTTTTTACTCATCTTAGCACTGGTTGGATTTGTCGCATTGGCGAGCTTTATCATAGTGCACTTTCTTAGTGGTAAGTCTTTCAAAATTTCAATACGACACTCACTAAAAGATTATAGAGGAAGTTTGTGAAAGTGAAGAATGCATTTCTGCGTCGTTCAAGCTTTTGAAAAGTATAGATCTTAGTGAAGACCCCTGCAATAATTTCGAAAAATTCCTTTGTGGTAACTACATTCCAATCAGTGACGAGAAAAAAACCAACCTGGTCACTTCTCCTTTAAGTGACAAAGATAACGGACCAATTACAACAGTTAAAAGTTTTTATCAAAGTTGCATAAACAGTTCTGCCATTGAAGACGATAATGAAAATACCCTTGCTACAACAATTTCCCATATTGGTGGATGGCCTATCTTGCTGGGCCAAACCTGGGCTGAAGACTCATTCAACTGGCAAAAATTCATGGTAAAAGTGCGCCCATTGGGTCTTAAATCTGACTGGTTATTACATTTTGACTACTATGAGGACGAAAGTGGCACAAATCAATTATTGGTAATTGAATATTTTTTTAATGAATTTTCCTCGTCACTGGATCACTGTAAACTTTCAGTTAAGGCCGCCACAAATCAAAGCAAGGTCTTATCAATTCAAGACTGAATTTTACCAAGAATGTATTATAAATCTCGCCGATAAGTTTGACGCCGATGATTTGGTATTAAATCAGCTCAAGCATATGATCGAATTTGAAGACAAATTATTGCAGGTAAATAAAAAAAAATAGGAAATAAGTTGCTAACTGACGTTGTAGATAAGTTATTTAGACCAAGATGAAAACTTCACCAAAGTTTCAGTCGGAAGACTGAATGAAATATGGCCGGAAAATTCACTTGTTGAAATCTTCAACGACTTGGCTCGCGGTTATTCGGTTTTTGTTAATTCGACTCCAATTTATTTGGCGTCAGAGAACTACCTTTACGAATTACACCAACTACTATCTTCAACACCAAAAAGGTAAAAAATAATATGAAAACATGTGACACAAAATGAGATTTTAGAACGCAAGCTAATTATTTTGTTTGGAGTATTATTGAGACGTTTTTACCTTTTTCGTCCGAGGAAATTCGGAAAATTTATAGCAAGTATTTGAAGATGGAAAACAGGGAAGACCATTGTCATAGTGAGACAATTAAGAGGTAAAAAATATTGCAAGTATTAATTAAAATTATAAAAGTTATTTTATTTTTTAAGATTTTACAGTATTATAAAAAGTGAAGAAGTGAGTAAATACAAACATGCACAAACTGTACCATTACTTAACTTAATTACAAATCTGGTTTATGAAAGCTATAACGGGACTGATAATTCCGAAATTAGTGTCATAATTGAGGGTCCTGAAGGAGAAAATTCGGGAGTCACCGATGTAAAATTCCAAAAGTTGTCAAACTTTGTTCTTATCTTTAATTCCAGGTAACTTTTACCACTGATAAATTACCCAAAATGATAACTGAAGTCCAATTTCGTATCGACAATGAATTTTATAAATGTTTACATAAAAAACCCTCGTTTTGTGTCAGAGAAAATTATTATGAACAGTCACAAGCACTTGAACCCTTGTTTGAAACTTCTAACAACATTTTTTGTAAATATTTCATTGTTTTTTTTGTTATCCTAATTTTGAAGTATTTGGTTCCAGATGTTCCCTACAGCCTAGTTTATAGTGATTGGTTCAAAATAAATCAACCAAATTATATAAACTTTGCCAAAATAGGTCGAATAATCGGTGATAAAATTCTGGAAGCTGTAGAAGACGAAACTAACACGACTCTTTCCGAATCTGGAGTAAATCTGGCTTATGAGGGCTATAGAAAATGGTTTCAAAAAAACGGAATGGAGCCAAAGTTACCAGCTTTGAATTTTACAATAAAACAATTATTTTGGTTGTATTCGGGTTTAGGATATTGCTCAGTAGAAGAATCGGATAAAATCCAAGAAGTCGTCAATTCGATGTATTTTAAAGAAGATTTCCATTGCATTTAAAATGTTTAGGTGAATGTTCATGATATAAAGTATTTGGGTCGAGTGGAAGAAAGTGGAGTGAATGAATCAAGTAAAAAGTTTCATTTATTTTTCTATGAGTTGTAATCAAACACAATATTTTGTTATTACTTAGGTATTTATTGTTAATAAATAACATTTCTGAAATGTTTTGAGTGTTTATTTATTTTTAATATAATTTAAATTAATGATATAAAAAATAATTTAAATCATTAGATCTAATGAGACAACATTCTTACTTTACATTTAAATGTTAATTTAATTAGATCATTAACTTGATTGACCAACTAACAACATAATTTTGCAGTTATTAAATTTACAAGTATATCGAGAAACGCCGGTAAATAAAATATAGCGGAAATGATAAAAAAAAAGCTTTATTGAAGTGACAATTATTATCTTGGCTGCTAATTTATTTAGGTCAACAATAGAGACAATAAACTGCATCTGCAAATAGAACAAGATGACACTATTTTAATTATAATTCAATTCTCATTTAGTAACGTCACAACTTTTTCTAATTTAATTAATTATCTGGTGATCTTGTAACAAAATTAAGTTTCAACAGTAATGAGTAATGAGATAAGTGATGATAATTTTTGGATAATTTTAACTAGACGTACGAATCTTTGTTGCTATATTTATATTATTTATAATTTGCTAATTGCTACTAGTAATTTATGACTATAATTCTGATGCTATTTGAATTTTTTTCTCATTCATATGGCTGACAGGACTGTTTAAAAAATAATCTCCTTTATATCTGACCTATACACTTTACAAATTGTCGGATTAATATAATTATTTTTTTCATCCTACGCACATGTGCATGGTAAAATAACGAAAAGTATCACTCAATGAGTTGTAACAGTTGTATCTGTGAAGACACCGAACATAAAAATGGTTACAGTATGTTACAAACAAAAAAGTACTTTAATCAAGTGCCTAATTTTCTTAGTGTCCGTTCTTATTATGATTTTAGTAGGATTAGCTATAGTTTTAGTAAAGCGAAGTGACGGTAAGTCTTTGATAAACTCTTCAATAACTAATCTTTAAACTGAATAGATAACCACGTTTGCAAGTCGGAGCATTGTATCAAACTTTCGGCTGAAGTTTTACGATCTTTGGATCCGTCCAGACAACCGTGTGATGATTTCTATGCTTTCGTATGTGGAAAAAATCGTAAAGAAATTCCTCCAGTGTCCACGAAAGAAGTGTTGAATTTAATGGTGGGGGAAATGGCCCAAACCAACGACTCTAAACCCTTCATTATGGAAAAATCGTTTTATTTAGCTTGTAGTAACTTAGCTGGGATTGAATTAGACGACGACGAGATGCTGCTAGACCAATTTTTTAGTTTGGGAGATTGGCCGGTCTTGCGTGGGTCTAACTGGGATGGCTCACATTTCGAATGGACGGAAATTGTCAAAAAGAGCCGCAGATTAGGGATGAAAATCGACTGGTTTATAGATTTTAGTATTTATGAGGATGTTAACGACACGAGAATCAATGTTTTGAAGGTGAGGGAAACGAAATAAAAAAAAGATCGTGATGTATTTGGTTATTAGATCGATATACCAGCTTTGGCGCCTCTGAAAGAAACAGAAATTTTTCCAAGACAGAAATTGCTAACCAAAATTGCTGTTACTTTGGGAGCTCCTGAGAAACTTGCGCATTATGAAACAGGCAGGACCATCGAATTTGAAAAAGAATTGAGAATTGTGAGAAATAAATTCGAGATTTTAAGATAAAGTGATTTTTTTTAGCTTGCAGACGTATACAGAAGAAGGAAAACACATTTGAACGCGATTACACTACCGAAAATCACAATAAGCGAAGTTCAGAAGCTTTGTCCACACATTTCTTGGCTAGATTTAATTAATGCTGTAACAGGTCTTACCATGTTGGAAACCGACGTAGTAATTTTTGACGAAATGCTTGACTATATCAAGGATTTGAACAAATTGATTTACGGCACTCCAAAGAGGTACAATTTGGAAGAAAAAACTTAAAAAGAAATTAAAATTTTAGAATTGTTGCTGACTACATGTTGTGGAAAGTCATTGAAGAAAACTGGCAATTTCTCACTCAACCAGTTCGTCAAAAATTCGAAGAATACTACGAAGAACATTACCAGACCCAACCGGAATTTAACCGTCAAAAATTTTGCATAAACGCCAGTAGAAAACAGTGAGTCGTCTCAATTAACCCTTAATTAACCTCACCAAGTGTTAAAATTCAGGTTTCCATTGATTGCCGAGTCGGAATATATTCGTCGTCATGTGACCCTCCAAAAAAGGCAATTAGTGAAAGAAATGTTAATTAATATTCAACGCAACTACCGGCGATTATTAAATTCCGCCACATGGATGAACAGAAAACGGAGAGAATTAGCGTTGAGGAAATTAGACGAATTGAAATTTTTAATCGGAGGACCGCGAGAGGTTTTCGACGAATTTGGATTCGCTGAGGATCTAGGTCTGTATGAGGTATAGAATGATTTCGCAACTGTGTCTTCAACAAATTGATAGTTTGTTTTTAAATCAACCAATATCATCGATATGCTGAACCAAAGAAAACTCCGGTTTTACGACCACTATTTCAGTTCGGTTAATAAGGCCGTTACTAACCGGACGCTGAAATTCTACGAAAAAGTTATTAATTTAAATAGATTTACGGTAATAAATGACGACACACTAGGTGAGTATTAACGGATTTCATTTAGCGTTGCTAAATTGTACCCTTAGTAATACCCGTGATGTTATTAAAAGACAACTTTTACGGTCCAAAACTTCCAAATAATTTCAATTACGCCACATTAGGGAAGACCGTAGCCCACAAAATATTCGAACATATCTTCGAACGAAATAATGTGACCATTATTGACGAGGAGACTCAAAATTATAACACGTGGTGGATTTCGGATGGGTTTGATCAAGCTGTGAAATGCTTGATTCATGAAGCTTCCGATTTTCACAATCCGGAAGTAAGTATATCGAGTTTTTAACTCTAAATAATAGTGTTTTGCAGTTAAAACGCCAGAAAAAAATGCGTGAATTATTGCCACACTTTGTCTCAACTGAAATCGCGTACGAGTCGTTCAAGGAACTGCTGACATATCGACAAGATTCCCCACAATCCAAGCTGCAATCTTTACAGTACACTCCCGAACAATTATTCTGGATACACACGAGTAAATTACACTGTAACAAAATTTACTCCAAGTACGACCGAGACTATTCACGTTTTAAAATTATCGCTCCGTTGAGGAATTCTCGTAATTTTGCTCGAGACTACAATTGCCAGATGGGCTCTAAAATGTATTCTAAGACAACGTGTCGGATTTTGTAACACTTGTGATAATAAAATTGTGTTATTTTTTCAATGATTCGCGTTTGAATTTTCCCATACGAATTAAACTTCATCCTCATTTATCAAAATTAAAAAATCCTTCAAACTACAACCGGCAATTAGTTGACTTAACGTTCGTGAAAAATACAGACATGAATCCAACGTAAGTAGATCCAAATCACGATTTAATTAAAAACTAATCTCAAAAACAGAAACTACGAAGATGAAAGGAAGCTCCACGGCTGTAAGAAAAATAAAATGGCGACTTGTTTCGCCATCACTATTACCACATTAATTTTTACAGTTTTTTTCAGTGCTTTTGGATATTTCGGATGTGAGTAGCGTCTGACACAATCACAAATAATTTTCCTCAAGTTTCAGAAATTAGGATTTATTGCAACGCTCCGGAATGTATCAATGCTTCTGCAGAACTGTCCGAAATCATCGACGACTCAATCGATCCATGTACAGATTTTTACAGTTTTGTATGTGGCAAATTGGTCAAAAACCACAAATCACAAAGCAATTCTATGAAACGGGAATATGAAAAAATTCAGCAAACGCTCGACGATTTGATAGCCGAAACCGAAACTCCGGACGACTCTCAGGAAATCCGGATGCAGAAACAGTACTTCCAGGCGTGCTTAAACACCACAAGCATTGATTCGAATAAAGAAGTCACCTTAATTCGTGAATTAAACTCAGTGGGCGGATGGCCGTTCCTTCAGAACAGTCGATGGATAGAAAAAGAGTTCGACTGGATTAAATTTATGATCAGAGCCAGAAAACTGAGACTACCTTTCGAGTGGTTTCTAAGTGTGGGCCTTCATTTCGATAGAGGCCAATATCAGCTGAAGGTAAATTTATTTTTAGCATTTTTTTAGAATTTAAATACTAAAAATCCAGCTATCACATCCTATCGATTGTGGTCAAAACATCAACGACGATTATTTTACAATGCAAAGAAAAATCCTAGAACAGTTACGAAAACCAGGAATTGACGCCATTGTCGAATTTTCACAACTGGAAAACTTTGAAAAAAAATTAAATTCCATTTGTGTAAACATGACCGATGATGATATTTCCGTTCGGAGAGCTTCGAATTTATGGTTAGACGGCATTGGACCAATTTCAAATTTTTTGACTTCTGTAACTGGTCTAAGAGGGTGGAAATCAAACTCGTGGGTGGCTTACAATCACAACTACCTCTTCGAATTAAATCATTTATTAAAACTTTTTTCAAAAAAGTAAATTTTCGCTTTTCAAAAAAACAGACAATCAAAATCAAATTTTAGGACCCAAGCTTTGTTTATTTTGTGGAAGATAATTCATTTCTATGCCCCTTATTTATCGAAACCAATTCGAGAAAAGTATTTTAATTATATGGAAGTTATGATGCAGAGAAATATCAGTCGAGAAGAATTTTGCCTTGAAGACACTAAAGAAAAGTTAGTAAATTATTCCCAAGGCAGTTTTCATAACATTTCTCACAAATTGTAGATTCAAATACGTTTCTGAAATTAAATACTTGACAGAAATATTTGATCCTGAGACACGAGAAGAGGGAAAAGGGTTTGTTTCGTCAATTATAAATAAAGTAACTGACAAAATTGAAAATGATACAATAAGAAGATTGCATTCGGAATGTTATAGTGATTTAGAGGAAGTTGTAGTCGGACCGGAAGAAATATTTGATGATACATTTATTGAAGAATATTTACAAATTGGTCAAGTAAAATCACCCATTAAAGCTATAATTTTCATTAATTTAAGTTCTCTTTATGCACAGCTACATTTCTTCACTGATAACATTATTCTAATGTTGAATACGTGGTCTCAGAGAATTTTTGAAAAGAAAATGAGTATGATTGGAAAGCCCTTCTTGTCATTAGATTCAATATTTGCAAGCGATGGGGAGTATAGTGTGACACTAGATGAGCTATTATGTAAGTTTAATAACAATTTTGGTAAAAAACATCTTTTTCTTGTAGCTGTACCCTCCTTGACATTTTACACCTTTTTTAATACTGATGCACAAAAATATCTGGAATATGGCAGTCTGGGAACAACTATTGGAACAGAAATTGTGCGACTAGAACATTACCTTAATAGTGCAAACCATTCGTATCACCAGAAACTTGAAACCAATAAAAACTGTATGATTCAAAATATTAAAAACTTTAATGTAAATTTTCTACTATTGAATTTGCAATTTTCTAAAAAAAAATTTGCAGAGACGTCTTAATGCATCAATAATTTATGAAAGAAATTTCGAAGCTTGGCTAGGTCAAGAATTATCTTATCAAGCCTACCAAAAATATACAGAAGATGAGGAAGCAGAAGCACCCCTCCCGGATTTGCCCTATACTCCCAACCAACTTTTCTGGATAAAATCAAGCCTGACGTGGTGTCAAACCGCTGTCCTTTCTCCCGAAAATTCTTTTAGAACGTTTCAAATATTGCGAATCAAAGTCACTGAATCTGTGAAACATTCCGAATTTTTTGGAAAAGATTTCAATTGTCCCACAGACTCGCCCATGAATCCAAAAAACAAGTGTCAATTATTTTAATATCCTCATTATTGTTAATGGCCTTGTTTAATAAAAGTTGACACAATTATTTTGTGTTTTTATTTAATTACCCTTGCATTTAGTTGATGAAATTGTTTGCATAATATTTAGTTGCGAAAATGGGAGGAAAGTAAGTGAATGTTTTTTTGAGAGTGTGGTTAAATGGGAATTTTTGTAGTCAATACTATGTAAGTGAGAAGCCAAAAAATAGAAAAAAATGGACGCGATTGGAATTGATTTTGACTTTGATGGTCATAAGCTTGGCAATTTATGTTTTTTATTTGAGGAGTTATAGTCAAAATGTTGAAGGTAACAAAATTTTGGAAAAAAAAGGTTTACATCAATCTTGGGATTACAGAATTGCCGAACTATTGTGAAGATATTTCTTGTTATAAAACCGTTACAGAACTTTATGAATTTATCGACTCATCCGTCGATCCTTGTGAGGATTTTCATCAGTTTTCGTGTGGCAACTTTTTAGAAACAGTCCATAAAAAAGAAATAACATCTCAAATAGAGCAAGAACAAACAAGATTAGAAAACGAATTAAATGCCATGATTGTTGGACCAATTTTGAGTAAAAATTCTCGACCAATTCAGATCCAAAAAATGTTTTTCCAATCTTGTCTCAAATTGGAAGACATTGAAGCAAATAAAAATGAGAAATTTTTATTTTTGATCAAAGACATCGGAGGATGGCCTCTTCTTGAAGGCAAAAAATGGAACGAATCAAATTTCGATTGGAAAAAAATTGTGATAAAATGTAGAAAGCTGGGACTTCCGTTTGAGTGGTTTTTAGAGTTTGGTATTTATGAAGAAGATCGAGATTATCTTAAAGTCAGTATTTTTTATTTACAAAAATTTAGGAGAGACTAATTTTTTTGTAGATTACATATCCGATTCATATAAACCGTACACACAATGTAGACAAAATTATTGTCAATTTAGTTGGAAAAAAAGCAAATATAAAAGACGTAATAGATTTTGAGCGACGATTACTGAATGTAAGATTTCTTCTTTTGTTGTTAATTTTTTTAAGAGAAATTCCAGATCTCACGTCCTGAAACACCTGAAATAATTATAAGAACAATCTCAGAATTGCAAAAAATACATCCGCCATTGGACTGGTTAAACTTCCTCAATAATATAACGGAAGAAAGTTACGAGTTTACGGAAGAAACTGAAATTGCCTCTAATATAGATGATTACATTTTAAGATTGCACATGCTATTAACATCGACTCCAAAGAGGTATAATTGTTATATCACAAATTTGTAGATATAACAGCGAAAATTGTAGCACTCAGGCTAACTATATCGTTTGGAAAATTCTAGAGTATTTTGCCCCCTACATACAGAGCGGTGTCGATAAAAATTTAGACAGATTCGAGTTTTGTAAAGAAGCAACAAAAGAAATGTTCCCTGAATTATCTTCCATTGAATACATCCGAAAATATCCAACTTCTAAAATTAGAAATTCAGTAAAAGAAATTGCCATTTTGGTAAAAGAAGAATTTATTCATCGAACTGAAGATGCCACGTGGTGGAATGAAACAGAAAAACAGATGTATTTGGATTGGTTTAAAAATTCTGGCTTGGTAATAGGAAGCCGGATTGAAAATTTTGACGATGATTTTTTAGACGACCAATATCTACACTTAAAAGATATGATTTTTGAGAAAAATTCAGATATCATCGAAGTCTTAACTGCAAAATCTCGATCATACTTTAATTCTATTTTTAGCAAAATAAATAAAACTAGTTTTATCCCAGAAGAAACTTTTGCAGATTTAATGAAAGTCGATGTGTTTTTTGACCAAAATAAAAACAAAATGAGTAAGTATCAAATTTTGTAAGTTAATTTTTTAGATAGTTAAATAGTTCTGCCACCTCCTGCTCTACATGGGTTTCATTTGGACCACTCCGGTCCACATTTCATCAACTTTGCAAGTTTTGGCGTTTCGTTGGCAAAAGTGTATGTAAACACACTTCGTATTTTAACCCAAAATAAAGGAAACTCGACTGACGTTGCGTTTCAAACCAGCGATAAATGCCTGGAAGCCGACTATTTAAATTTGGGTGAAAAAAATGATGTAAATTACAAAAACAGGTTTCGTGTTTTGTAAAAAATAAAACTTCAGTTTCCTCCGGAGCTAATTTCTGATATTTTGGGCCGCGATATATCTTACAAAGCTTATCAAAAATGGATCGCGACCCACGTCGACGAATCCCAACTACCACTCTTACCCTACACACCAAACCAGTTGTTTTGGATCAAGTCGAGTTTAATTAACTGCCAACTAATCGATTCGACTTTAAACCATATCTCGATCAGACATTCGCGTCATTTCGGCAAAGATTTTTCATGCGATAATAGCCCGATGAATCCTCAAGAAAAATGTTAAAATGCTTAGTTAATGCTGACCTTCTAATAAAACCTAATAAAAGTAGTTCAGTTGTTTTCTTATTACCTACACCCAAGCTTAATTTGGAAACGGCCACAACAGCGTAACGATGGAATGCTGGGCCCAGCGATCGCGCTTAGAGAAAAAAAGTTGTGTGACTCTAATTCTAGTGTTGACTGTTACAATAACGTTAATTACTCTAATTTTACTAGTGACGGGTAAGTTGATTTAACTTTGTGCTAATTGTGAACCGACCGATTCCAGAACCACAATTTTGCATGACCTTGTCCTGCATTGAAAGCTCCAAAATTATAAATAAAATGGTCAATCCGAGAAAAAATCCGTGTGAGGATTTTCAGGCATATGTTTGCGGAAAATCTCAATCACCCAGAGATGACAGCCAAAGAATCCTCAAAGAGATACTCTCAGAAGGCGACAAAGTCAATGACACAACATCCTTGAAGCTGCAAAAGCAATTCTATCACTCTTGCAACGATTTAAAGACCATAGATATGGATAACGATACAACTTTTGCGAACTTAATTGCAAAATTAGGAGGATGGCCGGTTGTTAGTGGCAATAATTGGAACGAGAGTGCTTTCGATTTTGCCGAATTTATGGTGAATTTGCGAGAATTGGGGTTCCAATATGACTGGTTTTTGGACATTTCTGTCTACTCCAATCTGGGAGAAAATATTATTCTTGAGGTAAATTTTTTACTTGTTAAAATTTTTATTCATTTTTTCTAAGATTAACGTGCCCGACAATGTAAATAAAATTGAAGAAAAGGATGAGAAGAGTTATGCTGACTTATTGGTAGACGTAGCTGTGGCCTTTGGGGCCCACGAAAGTGTGGCGAAATCTCAAATTCCAGAAGTTATCTATTTAGAGAAAAAATTGGCAAATGTGGGTTAAGAAAATTTTTAATAGGCAATAAATTTAACCAAAATTGTAGCTAGTGGATGAAATTCAAACTGAAAATGAGGAATTAGCGAAACAAAAATCGTTTCATTTGTTGACTGTTACCGAAGTCCAACAAAAATGGCAAAAATTGAACTGGTTGGAATTTTTAAATCACATAACTCAAAAGAAGCTGTCAGATACGCAATTAGTGGCGTTTTATGTTGAGAATTATATGCCAAAACTTGACAAGTTGTTGAAACACACCACAAAAAGGTATTAATGATGTCTGAATGAGATCAATAAAAATATCAATTTATATTAATCATTAGCTCTTTAAAGCACCCAATAAAACCAAAAATTCATATTTTCAACCATTAGTTTGCCACAAAACACAGAAAACTACCTAAGATTCTAAAAACATAGCATATTTTTTCAGAACACAGGTTAACTATGTCATCTGGAAATTAATCGAAACCTTCTCTCCTTACTTGTCAAAGACAATCCGCGACTTGATGCAAAACTATTCGATAAAAGCAAACGAAACTGAAGCGTGGTACCAAGACCGGAGTACTTTCTGTTTTGAAGAATCCAAGAGTTTGTAAAAAAATTCGCACAAAATTATCTCCAAAGTCAATTTTTTCCAGTTTTCAGTACAGTCTCGAAGCCGAATTTGTGCGTCGATATGTCACTATAACTAAAAGAAGAAACGTCGAAGAGTTAATTGAGAGGGTACTAACCCATCTCGAAGAGCATTTCCGTGATTCCAAATGGTTGAATTTTGAGACACGAAGAGCGGCTATTTACAAAATACAAAATATAAGTTACATTATTGGAGGTCCGGAGGAAATGTACTATTTGAAACAGTTTGAAAAGGATTTTGGTATAGGAGAGGTAATGTTTTTTTTTTTAATTGTGCCTTGTACTAACTAAATTTTGATGCAGGTAGAATTCAATTCGTCGAATATAATTTACATAAATATTAAGCTTTTTGAAAAGGGACTCGACTTGTTATTTAATAAGAAATACAAAGATACGAATTATCTCAAATACATGTTTTACGAATTAGTACCGACGAAAGAAATTCGATTTATGCAACGATTTAACTTGATTTGTAGGTAATTAATTTATTTTAATCCTTAATGAAGTATTATTTTCCAGGGGTACCAGCTGGGTCCCTCCATGGTTACCTGTATGACGATACTAGACCCAATTATCTCAATTATGGTACCTTAGGTACCACCATTGCCCAGCAACTAATCGAGGCAATGTATTTCTCAATTTTGAAAAATGTGTCTGAAGATACCTACACAAATTTCAAAAATATGACTCAGTGTTTGCCTCGATGTGGATTAGATTCCGAGCTAGTATGTACTATTCTATTAAATGGCCTTCAAGTACTATTTATTGAATTGCAGATAGATTGTAATGAGAGTTTGGTAACAATTATGGCAAATTATCTCGCTGTTGATATATCATACTTGGCTTATAAAAGATGGGAGAAGCAGAATTTCGTCGAAAAGAACCTCCACGGTTTACATTTTAGCGGCGATCAATTATTTTGGTTGGCTTATGGTACATCGATGTGTCACGAAATAAATTCAGCTGACATGATCCAGTCGTCGAGAATCGTTGGACCGCTTCGCAATTCGCTCTATTTTAGTAAAGTTTTCAAATGCGATCAACGGAATAAGTGCCTGATACTGTAATAGCTTTAAATGGATTAAATTAGAATTAATTAAAAACGTACTAACGATCATTTCCATTATAACATATTAATTCCTAGAATTAGTTCGATGAGTCAGTACTGCGTCTACTTTTAAATCGTACTCAAGTGTGAAAAAATGAAGACTCAAAAGCAAAACTGCTGCGCGAAAAGGACGATCCTTGAAAAAATTCTAATAGTAGTTGTGGTGCTCTTAGTGTGTATTTTAATCGCATTGTTTTGTGTTTTCATTTTACATATTAAAAACGGTAAGAGACACTTTACTCGACCAGTGGTGCAAAACTTGTCATGCCCCACACCGAGTCCTCTCCGAGTCAAAAAAAACACTCCTTGCATGACCCAAAACTGCATCAAATCCACGTCACAAATAATTGATTTTATCGATCCTACTGTAAATCCGTGTGACAATTTTTACGATTTCGTGTGTGGCAATTTTCTTAATAAACCGAAAGTGTCCAACGAAATAACACCACTCAGTACCTTAGAGGCCATAACTTTACAACAACTTAATTCGTTGATCACGGAAGCCATCGATGGAACACTACCCAAATCATGGGCTTTGCAAAGAAAGTACTACAAAATGTGCATGAACACTAGTGCTATCGAAGAAAACAATAGTGAAACTTTCTTAGAAATGTTGAAATATCTGGGTGATTGGCCACTACTTCATGGGCGCTTCTGGGACGAAAGAAAATTTGATTGGTTGAGCTCGATGGTCTTGTGTCGAAAAGTTGGGTTCGCATTTGAGTATTTTCTGAAAATTGGAGCCAAAGATGCAGCGAATGAAACCGGAACTATAGTTTTATCGGTAGGTGAAAACTGTTTAGATTTTTTGATTCAGATATTTGTAGATAAATCCACCTGCTGTAACCGATTTGCCGTTCCATTTGAGAAATTTTTACGTCGAGCTCATGTCAAACATTTCGATAGAGTTGGGGGCGCCTCCGTATTTGGTTACGCATGAGGTTAACCGAGTCTTGCAATTTGAAGACGAAATCAAAGCGGTTAGAGAAAAAATCTAAAAGCTTCAATATATTTTTTTATTAAAAATTGTATGCAATTTAGGCAGTTGTGGACGAATTACAAAATGGCCAAGAAATAATTACAACGATTGAAAGTCTGGAAACCCAATTTCCTTCAATTCCTTGGGTCGATTTCCTCACTAATATTACAATGAATTCAAACAACATCAGCTCAAACTCTTGGATACATTTTCGCGCCGGTCGCTATTTGAGAAACTTACAAACTTTGCTGCACCGGACGCCAAAATCGTAAAATTTAATTAAACAAATTAACCCATAATAATTTGTGATTAATTTTCAGAATTCAAGCTAATTACATCGTGTGGAAAATCATTGAACACTTTCGCAATTATTTAAAAGAAAGCGTTCGCTCACTTTACGAATCATTTTTAATTCACCTCAACCCAAATTTAGCTTTTGTAAACAATCGACATTTGTACTGTTTACAGAAATCCAAATTCTAGTAAGTTTATAGGTCGCAATAAATTTTCTTGTAAACCTCTCAAAGTTTTCCTTCAGTTACTGAATTAGCTTACGTTCGGACATTTCTCCAGCGTCGATCGCGAGACAACATCAAAGACATGGCCACAAGAATAAAAAACCAACTCCAAAATAAAATCAGATCGAATGAGTGGCTTGATGAGAACTCTAAAAACTTTCTTGAAGACAAAGTCGCCCAAATTGAAAATATAATCGGAGCTTCTGACTACGCATTCGACCAAAACTTCGACCACATCGTCGAAATGGACGAGGTATTTAAAAACCTAAACACTAAGTCGCACTTAAATTATAATTATAGTTTGACCTCGAAACCGACAACATCATCGAAATGGCAGCTAAACTCCACGCGAAACGAGCCGACAACTACTTCAATATAATCAACCGAAAATCAAACGAAGTGGCCAGGGACGTGTTAGAAAAATCGCCTGTTTTATATATAAACGCATTCTATGCTGAAGATTTTAACGCAATGAGTGCGTTGTTTTGGAGGCTTCAATCGTGATCTGATTTTTTTGGTTTTAGTTGTACCGGCTTCGTTTTTGCAAGGTGTAATCTACGATCTTGACCGGCCCCAATACATGAATTACGGGGCTTTGGGAAGCGTTATCGGACACGAGTACACTCATAGCTTTACAACTTTTGCGGAAGAAAATCAAACAAAGACTGCGGAAAACGCAGACAAATACGAAGGGAAAATTAAATGTCTCTTGGAGGAGTACAAAGCGTATGGCAAGCATCTGAGCGAGTTTACGGTAATTTATCGCCCGGTAATGGGGTAATAATAAAAGACTCTTTAAGTGTAAACAAAAAATTGTTTATTTAGAAAATTTACACCAAATTATTACAGGAAGAACTTTAAATAAAACTTTATTTGTGTTTATTTTTGCACTGCGATGATGTTTTCCTGGGTTTGAGCGCATTAAATTACTGATGCAATTTTTTTTTCAGACAAATGCAAAATCGGCCCTGGAAGAGAACATCGCCGACTTAATCGGCCCCGACTTGGCTTACGAGGCCTACCAACAATGGAAACGTGAAAACGGTCCGGAGTCGACCCTCCCCAGCCTCAACTATACCCAAAACCAGCTTTTCTGGATAATGTCTGGAGCTTTCAAATGCTACCAACCCAAACGCGGATTTAAACTCAAATTCGATCAGCACCACGGCGTTCCATCATTCGCCGTCACTTTCAGTATGAGAAACTCTCCTTTTTTCGCCGCCGACTTCAACTGTCCTATCGGTTCCAACATGAACCCGAAGAATAAATGTCGAATCTTGTGAATAGATTGTTTTCGTGTGTGTTCACACATTCTCATTATTTAACGGGCAACGGTTAATTATAATGATATAAAGAAGAAAAAAGAGAGAATCGTTTTAAATTAATCTTCTTTTGACATGTGTAGTTTTGAAATAGTTTTAATATATTATGTTTTATTACTATTGTGACGAAGATTTAATTTTTGGGATTCATTCTAAAGCTTGCACTTACACTTTTTGATTTAATGAAACAAAAATTAAAGAAACGGAGTTAATTATCCTAATTAGGTTGTAATCTTGTGAGAATAGAAAATGATAATTCCCAACGTTGTTAAAATTGTTTTATAATTGTTTTAACATAATTCCAGTCCGAAAACTCAAAAGTGAACAATTTTACACTCCGAAGCATCAGAATTAGTCTCGGAATTTCTCTTTTCTCTCCGATTCAAGTCTCGAGATTCCCAAAACGTCGCCGCTGTATCAAACATGGAATGATTCATGTTTGTTAGTGGCCGTTTAGAACGTCCAGTAATTGAAATAGCATTCCACAGATGTGTCTTACCACTTGCGGACTTGTCGCATCTTTAAATGGAATCGGTTAATTAGAGGTGTAGCTTGCTCATAGAGGTCGCCGTTATTTTTATCATTCTTTCTGATACCTCAAGTGTTACTATTATGTAATAGACAACTGTTACGAAAAAGAAAACGCTAATTAATATACAAGCGGATCCTGTAATTTTATTAATTAGCAGATTCTCAAGATGCGGAAACGATTAACCCATCACCAAGGTTCGGTGGCACAAAGAATTTTTTTAAACAGGGGGATTCAAAGGCACGGAAATGTTGTAAACAGGTTTTGCTTTGTTCGAAGGAAAATTATTTCCAAAAGGTGTTATTAGAGGGCCATTTCGGGGATCCAAACTGAAGGGTCGTTGCTTTGAAAACTATTCTAATATATAAAATGTGTTCCAAATTATTGGGAACAGTCAAAGATATTTTTTTTTAAATAAACTATATTGCAGGATGCATGTTTATTTTATTTAAGTGATTGAGAGCCCTAATGCCTATAAAACACAAAGGTGCAATATCGATAGCCACACAGCTCATCCATATTCAAATATAATTTAAAATAAATGTAATCATAAAACGAAAATTAACAAGCTGGGAAATATTATCTAACATGTATTGCAAATAGAAACTATAAAATCCGAATTGATAATAAATTTCGTGCATGATTATATTTCAAATTTAATGTCATTTCATATTCGTATGATTTATGATAATAAAGAATATTGTTTATTATGTTTAAACTGGAGAGAGAAAAATTTGAAAACTCTTTAAAATTCAATAATCCTTGTACAAGAACACGTTTTTTTAATTAGTCGACACCCTTAAGAAGCCGAAAAATTTAATAACGACACGCTGACAAAACCAGTATTTCTCACACAACGTTCATAATTTACAACCAGAAACTGTAGGAAATTATTAATAATAAATACCAGTGGTAGGCTTAAAGCGGCGACACAAAAATGTGGACATATTAAAAATTCAACAACATAAATCTACCAACGCTGAAAAGCATCCTTAATTCGAAAAAACCCAATAAAAGCGTCACAACGAACCAATTTCTGAATCAAACAAAAATGTAGCAGTTAGTTTGATGTTATTTCCTTGTCGAAGACCATAAGTCACTCTGTTGGAGTCCAATCAAAAGTATTTTTTGACCGAGTTGAAATGAAATAACACACAATAAAATAATTGCTTTGTGCATGACACTGTCGATACAAAAACATCTTGCATATTGTAATGTCACGCATAGCAGGTTGTTGTACTGAAGAAAATAATTTCAGATCAAAATTTTGCTCTCTTGTCTATTATCAATCTATTTATGTTCTCTTGTACCAACACCGGTCCTCATCTATAAATCAAGTCCGTCAAGTAAAAAAAGCATCTCGCATGTTTACATGATTGTTATGTTAATGGCAGCAGAACGTTGCTTCGATTAAGTTAAAAATACACCTACATGCCATCGTCCATCCTTCCTCCATCCATACCTTAAGAAAGAGCAAGCCTCGAGACAATAACTACTCGACCTAAGACTAATAATAATAAAACGTAGTGGCTAACCACCTCGTACCCATACTTGACCCAGTGGCGTACCACACATTCCCTCTGGAACATTCTTAAAATATTCCTGCAGTTACGCCACTGAGTGATTGGTTTTGTAGTGGTCGAGCGCGATCGCCGCCAGGTATGCGTTCTTATGTTAATTTGTGATATCGAGGGGATACATATGCATAGTTAATGAGTGGTTGGGATTCGCCTTTTTTCTTTGGTGGCAATCATCTCCGAGTAAATTAGACAGGATATCGGGCTATTCAGATGGAAAGTAGATATGAAAGGCGAGGGAAATTTAATTTGAGACGTGGTGGTGTTCGAAAAGAAAATACACATTTCGGAATCAATGCGTTCGATTGGAACGCTCATTGCAATACATGTTAACGGTCTTTAAATAATAAGTGCTTTGCGCTGCAGCTCTTAATCAAACTTTTATGTGTGTCGTAAGATAAGCACCGATGTTTTATCGGTAGGCGATGCAAAGAGATGTGCTTCCTATGCAATAGACTGCGTTTTGAAACAAAGTTGTAATGCTAGGAAATGATTAATCTTATTGTAATAATTATTTATTAGATATATTTAACAATCTTAGCTATTTATAGCAAAATAAAGTGAAAAAACCTCCATATTTCCCCATACCCTCAAAAACCGGAAAGATATTTTGGGTGACAACCTAAGTGGATTAAAATCTGCATGTCAATAATACGTCTTAAATAATGAGAGTTATTTAAAAATATTTCCAATAACTAGTATAAAGGGTTTTCAGAAAATTTCATGTGATTTTAACATTAAGATAAGTGATTTTAACATAAAGAAAAAAATTAAAGCATAATAATAAATATGTACATAATTTCAAAATGTTTTCCACTAATCTTGACAGAAACAGTGTTTTTTAAAATCCACCCATTTGTTTAAAAATAAAAGTAAAAAACCCTTGCGCAAAGATGAACGGTCCTAGTCATCATATTGTACGAGTACGTTGATTTATTTTAATAAAAATTTCTCCTCGTCGTATTTTCCAACTTTCATACAATCTTGAGCCACAATTTCTATTAACGTCCATAATTCCGACTTTAAAATGTTCTAAAATCCGGAATTTATGAGTCATAAACGGCAGAATTTTATACTTCATTACATTAACTGCCAATGAATATTAAAAAAACACATCGCTTGCTTTGTTCTTTTATCTTTGCGTGATGCTACTTTTTAATTAGGCGTAAAAATTATGCAAATCGGAAATTTTTCCCGATCGATGTTTCGGGGCTTCGGGGCGTATAGTGGCAGTGGATAAGTTTGGTAGGTTCTAACCGCCACTTATCTAAATGGCCCCCATCCTCAGCTGAGACAAAGGCGCCCAAATCGACCGTGAATTCCTCTCGTCATTGCCGAGACGATTCCATCACGGAGATGCTTTTAACGTTACATTTCTAGTTTCATGGATGCTTAAAATGTTATCTATTGAGGAAAAAAAGAAAGAATTTAAGATTTCTTTGTCACGAAATAACGCCATTTGACACAGAAGGTATCGTGTGTCGCTAAGAATTTCGAAAATTTATAGCGGAAAAATGGTGGATTTTAATTGGTTACTGCTTTTGACAGAGAGATAATTTAGTTGAAGGAGTTAATCCGATTAAAGAATTCATCACGATTATAATTATATAACAATAAATAGTAATTTAACCACAGTTAGGACTGTGGTCCAGTTGACCATGAATGGGAAAAGCTGTCATAAAATAATAGATTTTTCAGCACTTCTCTCGTTTTCGTTCCAAACTGGTCGTTATCGCGACTTGTAATTTACCAGAAGTAAAAAAGTGCAGTCATCCATTATGATCCATAATAATTCATAGTAGCCGTAAAAAATTCAAGAGATCGTTCCCGTGGGCGAAATAATTAGAAGATATAATAATTCTTGGGTTTATCAGGAATGAATCATTTGATACCATCGTAAATTATTTTAAAATATCGGTCATTATAATAAACAACGTTACATTATCTCCATTTACGATCTTCAACTACTCACACAACTTCATCCCGATATTTAATTATCCCCAAATTAGCTAAATAATTGATCACAAGGTTTGGGAACTTTCGCCATTTCGGGTCAATGTTTGTGTGTTTGTCCATTTAAAAATTTTTCTTGAGTAAATAGAAACTTTTTCGGTCTGTTTACCGACTCGAGACGAATTTACATAAATTAAACGTGTGGTCGCACCTGCTATAACGACATTAATTGACAAATTATACGATGGGGTGTTCCTCGTAACAATAAGTGAAAAACTGGTCCGGTATTGAACCAGTCTGTAATTAAAATTGTGATTAGTTTGATTGCTTTGACATAACATGACTCCGGAGGCTGCGCTTGATTGATACCGGCCTGTTCTTCATGATTGACTATGAGGAAGTCGACTGAAGAAGACTTAACCATTTTTGTCGCTGTTTTGTTTTGCATTCTTGCACACATAATACAGAATCAGTGCTTGACTAATTCCCAAACACGGCACGATTGGAAATTCCTCGTTCGTTTATTCCACTATTGGATAATTAACGAATTATTAATGACGTCTCATTTATTAACGTGTCGTACGTGTAAAAATATTTTGAAGCAAAGTTCGAGGTTGCTACCAATAATGTATTCAAGAAGATAATTCGATGATTATCTCAAATGTTTGCTTGTCGAGAAAAAGATGAATGTTTTTCGAGATGATTTGAAGCAAATTATGCCGCGAGGAATCTGAGTTTTCGAAGTTTAGTCGACTGGAAAAAATTCAAGCCTGACAGAGCCCTCGGCTTGGCTCCGAAGAATAACGAAAATCATTACATATTTTAAAATCTTTAGATAATTTCATCAATAAAAGCAACTCTCCCACCATATTTCTAAGAGCAATACAATATAATGAAAAGCTGATTTGTTACAGAAAAATTATGCAAATGTAACGCTTGTTTCTAAAATTATTTATTATTTACTCAACTATGATTTAGTGTCCCATGCTAAGTATGGAATAAAACGACTGAGCGGCTACCTACAAACACTCCTACAAGAAGTAAATAATTAATTGAAGAAATGTTCAATAAATGCTAAAATAATGACGTTTACAGAGCGTATTTTTTTGATTATTGCTAATTATAAATATAAATATATTATGTGATTAGTAAACTTTTTAACGAATACAAAAAATGCGTTGCAAATAATAACTAAAATAAATTT